CACCACAATAAAATCATCAATAAATCATCAAGCTACGCAGAGGCGTTTCGAGGGTCAATAATCAAGCATCAATCATCCACTGAAGACCGAGAACAACTTAACATGGGAATATTTATGTAAGTAGAAAGTTCAGCAGCTACTATTCTGAGAATTCCATTCGAGAGTAATATAGTAATCGAATCAGATAATTTGATAAATTGTTAAAGTAAATACAATTACAAATACAAAATCAGAGATTTTTTTTTTTTTAATTCTAAACGATGGACTCCCAACCCCTCCAGATCCTTCTTCATACCGCAATCCGTACGGCAACGGAACATTAAAGGCAGGAATTCCAGACCCGCATTGAAGAGTTTACAAACAGGTTAGCCATAATTGAAACTCCAACCCAGGTCGTCCTTAAAACTACTAGACGCGGTCAGAATACATCACCGACATGCGCGAAGCATCAATATCCTAGGGACTGCATTAAAGTACATAATCGGCACCCCGGACTTTGTTGACTTTCAAACAATTGAGACCAGAGCCGAAGCCCTAATAGGAGCAAACGAACAGCAGGCAACAATTAATTTAGTTACACAGAAACAAATAAACGAATTGAGGGTGACAGTTAATAAACTTTTAGCACAGGCAAAACGGATACAGATCGACACGGGAAATCTCTTTTCTTTAGTCAGTGCTAGGAATAGAGCGGTAATAATGGAATTAGAAAACATTATAACGTCAGTAGCTCTAGGAAAAGTAAATGTTATTAACCCCATTCTGCTTAATGGCATGGAAATAAATAATATATTAGCTGCTGAGCTCTCTAAAAATACCAGTATAGCTGACATACTTTCTGTTTCTAAACTTAAGATACTTCGGAATACACAATTTATTTATTTCATTATTAAATACCCAAAAAATAGCTAGAGTTTGTAATAAAGTAAAGTTGCTGCCCGTAATCCAGGAAGGAAAGATTATTTCCTTAGAAACAAATCTTATGGCCGAATGCAACAGAGAATACATCCCACTTTATAATTGCAAGGAAGCCATAATAGCAAACTTCTGCCAACCCTTGAAAGAAAGTCCCTGTGTACAACTATTGAACCAGCACTTCGCAATTCTAATTAATGATCAACCCGCTGTAATAAAACATTAAAATTTGACAAGATTAGCTAGAGGAACCTTTTTGATAACATTCAAAGGCGAAATTACGATAAACTCCACCATTTACAGCAATTGGAATGAGGTAATACTTTCGAATCGTGAAGCAGTACCCGCGCAGCACGTTAACTTTACAGAACATATCGAGTTGTTGTCACTCCCACACCTACATTTAATATAAAAAACCTCAGGCACATAGTGCACCTACAGAATCTTATCGAAACCCGCTCCATACAATCGGGAACCGCCATGCTCCTAATCCTAATTGCCACAGCTATGAGCATAGCAATATTTCTGCGAAAACGACAAAAAAATATGGTAGTACTAAAGAACATCATAACGGAAACCTGGGACGCTTTCACTTCAAGAGGGGGAGTAGTTAGCACAGGTAACCAAACATCCGGCAAAAATATCACTTGTACCGAATTTCCTGACGGCGCGTCTGCACATTAATAAGAACTGAATACCGCATTAAGTATGCATCCGGCCAGTATGCTGATCAAACACTTTTTAGCCTTGCGCGTGGCAACAACAAAATAAACGCAAGGCAGCAAAGAATTGGGTAAACAGTTGCTAGTGTAAGCAACTAAGAAGTCACGCGGCCAATAACGTGCAGCAACTAAAGTTGGGGCAAAGTAGTGTAGGTATTTAGACGCTAATGTCGCTCTGTAGTCAGTTATTTCAACTCTTCCGCTGAGACTGGCTGCCCTTGGGATTACCAAGGGAAATAAAATTTACTAAAATTCTAAAGGAATTGTTTTACTTATATTTTAGGAGGATAATGGCCCGAAACATACCAGTAGGGTGGCAAAGAAATGCTTTCGGGTCAATGGAATTGAGGTCATGGATTGGCCAGCTCAATCCCCTGACCTCAATTTCATTGAAAACCTTTGGGCAGACGTTAAGAAAGCCAAACCCAAAAACAACAATGAGTTGTGGACCGTAGTGCAGCAAGCATGGCAGAACATACCACTAAAAAGATGCCAGTCTCGTATATTCTATGAAGAGGTGGTATATTGCTGTTATTAAAAATCATGGCCATGCTACCAAGAACTAATATCTCGTATAGACGGAACTTCCAAAAATCCTTCAGTTTAAAAAAAAAAAAATTATGACTTTACTACTATTTTACTGCTCCCATCAAATTTAATATATAAACACAACTTTGTGAACAAATATATCTTACACCCATTCAAATTAAAATATTTTTATTAATAAACGTAGCCAGGGAAATATGATAAACTTTTCCATTTCAATTGATGGTAAAATTGTTTA